CTGACAGCTGACTTTCCCAAAGCAATTCATCTCTTGATTTCCTGGCTGCTGGTATCAGGAGTGTAGATTGTGGAGCCAAGCAAACTAAAGCTGTTAACAATCTCAATCTCTTCATCATTCTTCATGATGCTGCCAATTTGTCCAGTGATGAGAATCTTTGTTTTCTTGATGTTGAGCTTCAATCTGTATTGAAGGCTGCTGTCCTTGAACTTCTGCAATAAGTGATTCAGGTTGTCCTCAGTTTCAGCAAGGGTTGTGTCATCTGTGTAATACATTTTAACCAAAAGCGAAGCTACCAAGCCACAGGTAGGTGACTCTAATCCACGGCCCTAAGGCCTGTCTTTGTTATTGGTGAAACAATCTTCTAGGTTGTATAGCCCTGGTGTGTCCACTTGCTGAACAGAGGTAACTTGTGGTCGCTGTGAAGCTGAACACTGTGACACTGATGTGACAAATGTGATAAATGGTTACCCATGTCAGACAGTGTTTGGTGGTGCTCCCCTGCTAAAACAAGATTGGAAGCAGGAGTGGCATCCACTTCCATTAATAGCTTGCCTTAGGAAACCCTAAGAACATGGAGAAAGGATGAAAGTTATGCAACTGTCAAGGACTTTCATTCATAGGGTCGCTATAACTTGAAGGTATTTAACAACAACAACAACAACATATTACTTTAGCATGTCTCACCCTGCCATGTAAAGGAAGTAAAAAACTGACCTAGGAGAGCCATTTTGAGCAAACTCACAACAGTGCATGTTGTTGTTTGTGATTGCCATCGAGTTGAAAACGATCCATAACTGACTCTCCATCAGATTTTCAAAGGCAGTTAATTACATGGGGGGAGATTGCCCAAACTTCTCTGGCAGAGTGGCTGGTGGGATTCAAACCATGTACCTTTGGGATTGCAATGCAGCTCTTGCCACTAGGCTACCAGAAATCTCTGTTCAATATATATATAAAAGTATTGAGAAATTTCCCTTCTATTCATGTGGGTTTTTTAAATTTAATTTTTACTGGTATTTTAATGAAAGTTTATAGAAAATTGGATTTCCATTCATTCATTGTTGTACATTTTCTCCATACCCTCTCAGTTCTCTCTACAAAAGATTTTTTTTTTCATTGCACAATTTCCTCTCTCCCTCCACTCCCTAGTCCACTTTGTTATGCACCTCTTATTCTGTACTGTTGTCATGCAAATAATACTTAATCTTATGTTCTTTTTAAACAGTTCTTTCCCTCATCTCTTTCAATACAGTGTGTTTTGTTGGTAGATTTTTTCAGAAAATAATATTGAATTTTATAAATGCATTTTCTTTATCAATAATTATCAATACTCAGTGCTTTTCTATTTTTAATATATATAGTGGATTATATTGGTTCTTTTATTTTTAAAGATTAAAAATGTTTAATCTTTTTAGTCCTGCTGTGAATTCCACTTTATTATGGCACATGAGACAGCACATAAGAACAACATCAATCAGTAAACAAAATATGCTTCACCCTTTAGTTAGAATCACAGTGCTATGTTTTAATTTTCCTACTCTCTTCTTCCTAACTCAAGTCTTTGTTCATTAGTCCAATTTTAAAGTCTTCTTGGATATACCCATCCACTAACACAGGTTTATTCTTCCTTGTGATTATGACTTCAAAATTAATTTCTAGTAAATTGTGAGTCCTTTTATCCATTTGTATCTTGGAATTCAACTTGACCTTCAACATGTAATTCAATCTCCAAATGCCTAAAACAAAACATAAGGCTCACTTTCTCACACATTGCTCCACTAGCTGAAACCTTCTTCTGACTGAACAGGCCTACTCTCCACCCAGTTTTCCAGAAAGACAGCTGTGAATCATCAAGTCTTTACTTCCCTCTTTCTTTTGTGTCCAGCCTATCCTGTTATCCTGCCAATCCTGGTACTCCTGTTTTTCTCTGCCTCATTTCTTCTTATGCTATATCACTACTGTTCTTTTACGCTCAGTTGACTCCTGTCTTTCCAGATTTAAGCTTTTACCAGAATAACCTTTCTGTATCACTTATTTGTTTATGCCACTCGTTGGTTTCAAAATCGTTTTGCTTTCAGTTACTTCTAAGACATAATTTATAGTGATGTTGCAAGACTCACCACACTCTGGAATGTGATTTAACTAACTGGATAAATCTGTACTTCCTTAATCATAGGTTTCATGTTTGCTGATATAGCTTTACTGAAATCCCTACATGCACCAGACTCCCTCAGTTCTGTGTTTTTTTGCATGTTCCTAATTACTACATGAATACCTTCAATTCCTATAATTTACTTGGCTAATATCCATAACTTAATATTAAAAAGGAAGTCCTCGTGGTGGAGTCTGTAGCATGTCGCATCATAGATTGAATCTTGTCCTGTATCATCTTTGCTATTTCCTATATGTTTATGACCATTGTTCAGTCACTGTATCAGTCCATGTCCTTGAGAGTCTTTCTCTCTTCATTACCCCTCTACCTTTTCCAGCATGTCTTTTTCCAAGTACTGGACCATCATGACAACATATTCACAGTATGTAAGATGAAGTTTCATCATGCTTGCTTCTATATAGCATTCTAGGTACACTTCCTCCAAGTCACTGTAAGTTGGAATTGTCTTACTAGCATTTAATAGCAACAATAATACTTATAGAAGCATAGCACCAGGCCTTTCTTCCACAGCGTCACTGAGTGATTTCAGACTACTACCCTCTGGCTTACTTCCTGAGTGCACTCTATTTGTGCCACTCAAGGCCTTATGTACCTATACAGCAACTTGAGTAGCACTTTGCCTTTTTTCTTTTATTTTGCTCCATACCTTATTGTTGCTAATCTTCTGTGTTGTCTCTCCCTTCATACATTAAATTCTTGATTGTTTGTTTAGGTTCAAAACAGGGACCACTTACTATAATAAAGTACCTATTAATCCCCATATTTTATATGTATCTAACAAACATTTAATGAGAAAAAAACATTAATAACCTAAGCAACCACCCTATACTTAAAATTTATTAGCGGGATAGAATAAGGATTTTTCTCTGAATAGGCTTATTTGATACAACTCTGAATAGCAAACACCTGTTACAGGACTTTGCAACTTTGTATTAAATTCTTGAAGGATATCTGACCTTGTTCTTCCACTAGGAAAGTGCAGTTAAGGTAATGTACAAGTTAAATGGCGTAAATGTATTCCAGTACAGCAAGAACTTCTTTTGTTGTTGTTGTTTGTTTCTTGAAACATCATGTGCTCTTATGTTCTAGAAACCTTGTCAACACATGAGGATGAAATGTTTAGGTGATTTCCTCTATCCAGGACACCAAATGTGGTTGAGATGAATTTTACCCACTAGAATTTGACTATTAGCCAAGCCATAATGGTTTGTACTTTCTATCTAAAACAGGTATTTGGACCAGACCATCCAGGAAGATATATCAACAGCAGAGCATTCTCTGAACAGAGAGAAATTAGCAATTTTGAAACAGGCCCTGACTGTAGTTGGCTTCAGTAATTTGGTAAGTCACATCATAAAATTTCATTGGTAAAACTAAGCTTCTACCAGCATATAACGTATTTATTAAAAAAAAATATTGTATTCCAGAAGCATTGTAAATATTAATGATTCAGAAGTGAATAAGACACCGTCCCTGCCCTTATAATATGTACACATTATTAGAGGAGGTAGGCATAAACAAAAAAGTAATGTTTTGCTCTTGATAAGAAATAAAAAGAATGGTCAGAGGAAAGAAGTGCTATTTTTAAAATGACGGTTTCTTTTTTCTTTATTCCTTTTTCATAAAATATTTTATTTTTTGATTTATTTTT